AGTGCAGATTTTAAAATCCACTGAAATTGAATGTCTATCAAATTTATGACACAAAAACATATGGCATAAACAACTTAGACAGTTATTGTTGAAACTTACAGTGCCCTATTCAAATAGACAATCGGTTTCTTATTATGATAATTGTCTTCATAATGTGAACATGAAGTAGGACTCAAAGAATAAATGAAATGAATATTTCATCATTGAAGAGACCATGTAACAAACCTATGCACCCAATGGTAATTCCTCAATAATAGAATTCATTAAGAAGTAGGAATAACAAACGTCTATGGATTTGTTATCAACACATGCTCATCATTGGATCTTATTATTCATGAATGTACTTGAAACCAAAAAAAATGTCGATAAAGATTGTCAATGTCATTAGGAATATTCAACATCAGTTGGCTTGATTTTCAGGATTCAACTTTCTAAAGGTAAACAGTCAGTCAAATTATTTTCATCAGGGAAGAAGAATGTGGTTGTAAAACCTCAACGAATGAATTTGAAGGAAATCGAATGTTTCAACTGACAATCTCATCTAATCTTTTTCAAGGAAATATAATCAAACATCAAGATTATCGAATATATAGATAAGTACATGATGCTATAGTACTTATTTATGTTTGATAATATTGATGTTTGTTTATACTTTGTTCAGAAATCTTGAAGCAGATTAGCAGGTAAAACGTTGGATTGACTTCAAATTCATCTTCTGAAATTTTACAAATACATTCTTCTTCTTCTCCTTATGTCTCACATCAACTCGGAGCCCAAATACTGTGAAACCATTTGATTGAATGGTTTAATGTATTCGATCAGTGGGCTTGTTTTTCTTTGAATTTCATTTTTGTAAGAATGCCAAGACTGATTCATTGTAAAAATTTCTATTTCATCTAGTTACATCGAAGAGCATAACAGTAAGGTTAAATTTCTAGAACTATTTGGAGGGAAGTTATCGTTTGTATCTTTAATTTATAATAAATGGACGTCAGTACTACTGCATGTGTTATTTTTCGATTTGGAAGCCTTCTTCAACTTATTCAGCGTTGCGATGATATCTGTTATTATTACAGATTTGTGATTAGTTAACTATTTCCCTTTTGTATCATCATCATATGAATTAAGGTAGAGTTATGTCTTCATCGGACCTTTTTTATTTTTGTTCTGTACAATCAGGTACTTATATTATTTTGCTTTATGAGTTTTCAAATTTATATGAATAGACCAAAACTGAGAAAATATCTACTTGTCAGCATTCTCTTCTGTTCAAAATCTGGATTTTTAATTATGTCAATGACCAATAGGCCTTAAAGCCTCGGTAGTTATTTACAGATCACTACATCATCATCCAACCAGAGAATAGAAACAAATAAGTTTATATTCGAACCAGAAATTATAGTTGATTCCGTGTAAATGAACTTGGTGCTTGAGCGCTAATACAAAACGAAATTCTGGCCGACTTATTAATAGCACAATAAGATCATTCAGTAATCTTCAGCATATTACAAGGGTCAATATGGTGAAAGATTCGACAACAAGTGAGATCACCAAAATGAAGAAGTTTGTCGGAATAAACTTGGAGTCGAATAAATTAATTTAACTTTTTTCAACACAAGACGTTTAAGGAGAACTTACGAGAGTGCTAGATTTTTCAGTAACTTTTTCCTATAAGATTTCATTTAACAAATTCATCTGACGATTAATAAATGTTCAGGAAATAAAAGTATTATTGCTGCAAAACAGATTTCTAATGTCAGGATTCATTGAACATTCGGAGGTTTAAATATCGAGGACTGATCATTACTATTAATGATACAATATGATATTGGTGGAAATTAGACTGAAATCAATTGCTGTATCAATACCAATAGTGCAGAGACAATTTAAATTGAATGCCACTGGTTGTTGTAAGTATTTGAGGTATACACCAGATCATGGATTATCCATCACCAAATTTATGTAAATTACTTAGATAAAAAGCAGGTAATTTTAATTGTGTGGACAATATCCCTTGATAACTGAGTCCAACCACACATAATTTTTTTGTTGATTATATAGTACTTAGAACGTTAACAGTAGTACAACATATTCGACAAAATTATTTCATGAACGAGAAGTGGATTATACGGTTACAACTGAGTGATAAATTAGTGTAACTATTTCAGCAATACATGGGGTTAAACGTCATTTGAGTCTCTCTTTTGGAAATTCCGTATACGATAAATGTTATTATCAACAAGAATCTGATAATTCACACATGCAAACTGTCAACTTTTCATTGTTAGTATGTTATCAAAGGAATAATAAATGAAATACTATTCAGTTTATGAACAGTAAGTTACTAAAGATGCATTTGGACGAAAGGATTGCTGATGACTGAAGCCCCTAATATGTATGTCAACTAGCTTATACAGTTTTAGAAACCCTGACAAGGTAAACTGTAAATCGAGGTTTCAAAGAGAGTATGAAGATCAAAACCAATAGAGTGTTATTTATAGTATCTTACGCAGTTGTTTGGGTTTTATTAATATTGGGACAAATGGTAATACTTTGTCTATTCGTTATAGTATAAAATAAGAGTTATTAAAACTATTGTAACCTGTAGTTTTGTCTTATATAATCTGATTTCATTTTGTGATTTAGAATTAATAGTTTGTTAACTAGAAGCCTATTGGATACTTCAGTAGTAAAATGATAATAGTATCGTCAGGTTATTATAAAATATTTACTAAAAAAACTTACAGTCGTTTCAGGATTCGCCGGCGACTCTACCTGTTAGAGTTGGAAAACTTTTTGCCATGAAATCGAAACAATATTCATTTATGAACAATGAAATAAGAGTTTGAAGACTGATTTCTGACAAGTGATTCAGATGCCTCTTAAAATACTTCCATACTGTATGGTTGATCACAGTTAAACATTGTAGTTATATAATATACCCTTGTGGGTCAGGGTAATTTTACATTACTTTTCAAGAGGATCAGACACCATCCACACATTCATATGACAATGCAAACAGTACAGTTTAATCTCGTTTAATAGGAGAGACAGACATCGTCCTCAGACTGAACCCGAACAGTATAGCTCAATCCCGCCGCCCCTAGACAGGAGATACAGACACTATACACGCTTCAACGCTACAATCTGAACAGCACAGCTCAATCCTGTGGCGTAAACACACAGGTACCAAGCACCCTGGTGGCCCATTCGCACCATTCATATACACATTCACATCACATGTATCACATGTATTTCGATCAGTGATTGCGTAAGAACACTTGAAACCCATTGTCTGCTATCGGAATAGTAATACAACACCACCAAGATCATTTTTATCTCATTTGCGAAATTTTCATGTTTCCGACTCTCCACACCCTGAGTTAGGGGTAGTACCCCTATATAACATGGCGAGTAAGAGCAGGTGTAAATAGTAAAATTCAAATTTCCATGTACATGTACATGTTATACATCATTCAATAGCACTTCATTAGATAAGTAACATAAAGTGAACCACATTGAAAAATATTAATCCATTCAAATGTTATGAACAATGAAATAATAGTTTCAAGACAAGTGATTCAGATGCCTCTTAAAATACTTTCATACTGTATGGTTGATCACAGTTAAACATTGTAGTTATATAATATACCCTTGTGGGTCAGGGTAATTTTACATTACTTTTCAAGAGGATCAGACACCATCCACATATTCATATGACAATGCAAACAGTACAGTTCAAACTCGTTTAATAGGAGAGACAGACATCGTCCTCAGACTGAACCCGAACAGTATAGCTCAATCCCGCCGCCCCTAGACAGGAGATCCAGACACTATACACGCTTCAACGCTACAATCTGAACAGAACAGCTCAATCCTGTGGCGTAAACACACAGGTACCAAGCACCCTGGTGGCCCATTCGCACCATTCATATACACATTCACATCACATGTATCACATGTATTTCGATCAGTGATTGCGTAAGAACACTTGAAACCCATTGTCTGCTATCGGAATAGTAATACAACACCACCAAGATCATTTTTATCTCATTTGCGAAATTTTCATGTTTCCGACTCTCCACACCCTGAGTTAGGGGTAGTACCCCTATATAACATGGCGAGTAAGAGCAGGTGTAAATAGTAAAATTCAAATTTCCATGTACATGTACATGTTATACATCATTCAATAGCACTTCATTAGATAAGTAACATAAAGTGAACCACATTGAAAAATATTAATCCATTCAAATGTTATGAACAATGAAATAATAGTTTCAAGACAAGTGATTCAGATGCCTCTTAAAATACTTTCATACTGTATGGTTGATCACAGTTAAACATTGTAGTTATATAATATACCCTTGTGGGTCAGGGTAATTTTACATTACTTTTCAAGAGGATCAGACACCATCCACACATTCATATGACAATGCAAACAGTACAGTTCAAACTCGGTTAATAGGAGAGACAGACATCGTCCTCAGACTGAACCCGAACAGTATAGCTCAATCCCGCCGCCCCTAGACAGGAGATACAGACACTATACACGCTTCAACGATACAATCTGAACAGCACAGCTCAATCCTGTGGCGTAAACACACAGGTACCAAGCACCCTGGTGGCCCATTCGCACCATTCATATACACATTCACATCACATGTATCACATGTATTTCGATCAGTGATTGCGTAAGAACACTTGAAACCCATTGTCTGCTATCGGAATAGTAATACAACACCACCAAGATCATTTTTATCTCATTTGCGAAATTTTCATGTTTCCGACTCTCCACACCCTGAGTTAGGGGTAGTACCCCTATATAACATGGCGAGTAAGAGCAGGTGTAAATAGAAAAATTCAAATTTCCATGTACATGTACATGTTATACATCATTCAATAGCACTTCATTAGATAAGTAACATAAAGTGAACCACATTGAAAAATATTAATCCATTCAAATGTCATGAATAATGAAATAATAGTTTCAAGACAAGTGATTCAGATGCCTCTTAAAATACTTTCATACTGTATGGTTGATCACAGTTAAACATTGTAGTTATATAATATACCCTTGTGGGTCAGGGTAATTTTACATTACTTTTCAAGAGGATCAGACACCATCCACATATTCATATGACAATGCAAACAGTACAGTTCAAACTCGGTTAATAGGAGAGACAGACATCGTCCTCAGACTGAACCCGAACAGTATAGCTCAATCCCGCCGCCCCTAGACAGGAGATACAGACACTATACACGCTTCAACGCTACAATCTGAACAGCACAGCTCAATCCTGTGGCGTAAACACACAGGTACCAAGCACCCTGGTGGCCCATTCGCACCATTCATATACACATTCACATCACATGTATCACATGTATTTCGATCAGTGATTGCGTAAGAACACTTGAAACCCATTGTCTGCTATCGGAATAGTAATACAACACCACCAAGATCATTTTTATCTCATTTGCGAAATTTTCATGTTTCCGACTCTCCACACCCTGAGTTAGGGGTAGTACCCCTATATAACATGGCGAGTAAGAGCAGGTGTAAATAGAAAAATTCAAATTTCCATGTACATGTACATGTTATACATCATTCAATAGCACTTCATTAGATAAGTAACATAAAGTGAACCACATTGAAAAATATTAATCCATTCAAATGTTATGAATAATGAAATAATAGTTTCAAGACAAGTGATTCAGATGCCTCTTAAAATACTTTCATACTGTATGGTTGATCACAGTTAAACATTGTAGTTATATAATATACCCTTGTGGGTCAGGGTAATTTTACATTACTTTTCAAGAGGATCAGACACCATCCACACATTCATATGACAATGCAAACAGTACAGTTCAAACTCGGTTAATAGGAGAGACAGACATCGTCCTCAGACTGAACCCGAACAGTATAGCTCAATCCCGCCGCCCCTAGACAGGAGATACAGACACTATACACGCTTCAACGCTACAATCTGAACAGCACAGCTCAATCCTGTGGCGTAAACACACAGGTACCAAGCACCCTGGTGGCCCATTCGCACCATTCATATACACATTCACATCACATGTATCACATGTATTTCGATCAGTGATTGCGTAAGAACACTTGAAACCCATTGTCTGCTATCGGAATAGTAATACAACACCACCAAGATCATTTTTATCTCATTTGCGAAATTTTCATGTTTCCGACTCTCCACACCCTGAGTTAGGGGTAGTACCCCTATATAACATGGCGAGTAAGAGCAGGTGTAAATAGTAAAATTCAAATTTCCATGTACATGTACATGTTATACATCATTCAATAGCACTTCATTAGATAAGTAACATAAAGTGAACCACATTGAAAAATATTAATCCATTCAAATGTTATGAACAATGAAATAATAGTTTCAAGACAAGTGATTCAGATGCCTCTTAAAATACTTTCATACTGTATGGTTGATCACAGTCAAACATTGTAGTTATTTAATATACCCTTGTGGGTCAGGGTAATTTTACATTACTTTTCAAGAGGATCAGACACCATCCACACATTCATATGACAATGCAAACAGTACAGTTCAAACTCGTTTAATAGGAGAGACAGACATCGTCCTCAGACTGAACCCGAACAGTATAGCTCAATCCCGCCGCCCCTAGACAGGAGATCCAGACACTATACACGCTTCAACGCTACAATCTGAACAGCACAGCTCAATCCTGTGGCGTAAACACACAGGTACCAAGCACCCTGGTGGCCCATTCGCACCATTCATATACACATTCACATCACATGTATCACATGTATTTCGATCAGTGATTGCGTAAGAACACTTGAAACCCATTGTCTGCTATCGGAATAGTAATACAACACCACCAAGATCATTTTTATCTCATTTGCGAAATTTTCATGTTTCCGACTCTCCAGACCCTGAGTTAGGGGTAGTACCCCTATATAACATGGCGAGTAAGAGCAGGTGTAAATAGTAAAATTCAAATTTCCATGTACATGTACATGTTATACATCATTCAATAGCACTTCATTAGATAAGTAACATAAAGTGAACCACATTGAAAAATATTAATCCATTCAAATGTTATGAACAATGAAATAATAGTTTCAAGACAAGTGATTCAGATGCCTCTTAAAATACTTCCATACTGTATGGTTGATCACAGTTAAACATTGTAGTTATATAATATACCCTTGTGGGTCAGGGTAATTTTACATTACTTTTCAAGAGGATCAGACACCATCCACACATTCATATGACAATGCAAACAGTACAGTTTAATCTCGTTTAATAGGAGAGACAGACATCGTCCTCAGACTGAACCCGAACAGTATAGCTCAATCCCGCCGCCCCTAGACAGGAGATCCAGACACTATACACGCTTCAACGCTACAATCTGAACAGCACAGCTCAATCCTGTGGCGTAAACACACAGGTACCAAGCACCCTGGTGGCCCATTCGCACCATTCATATACACATTCACATCACATGTATCACATGTATTTCGATCAGTGATTGCGTAAGAACACTTGAAAGCCATTGTCTGCTATCGGAATAAAAATACAACACCACCAAGATCATTTTTATCTCATTTGCGAAATTTTCATGTTTCCGACTCTCCAGACCCTGAGTTAGGGGTAGTACCCCTATATAACATGGCGAGTAAGAGCAGGTGTAAATAGTAAAATTCAAATTTCCATGTACATGTACATGTTATACATCATTCAATAGCACTTCATTAGATAAGTAACATAAAGTGAACCACATTGAAAAATATTAATCCATTCAAATGTTATGAACAATGAAATAATAGTTTCAAGACAAGTGGTTCAGATGCCTCTTAAAATACTTTCATACTGTATGGTTGATCACAGTTAAACATTGTAGTTATATAATATACCCTTGTGGGTCAGGGTAATTTTACATTACTTTTCAAGAGGATCAGACACCATCCACGCATTCATATGACAATGCAAACAGTACAGTTTAATCTCGTTTAATAGGAGAGACAGACATCGTCCTCAGACTGAACCCGAACAGTATAGCTCAATCCCGCCGCCCCTAGACAGGAGATCCAGACACTATACACGCTTCAACGCTACAATCTGAACAGCACAGCTCAATCCTGTGGCGTAAACACACAGGTACCAAGCACCCTGGTGGCCCATTCGCACCATTCATATACACATTCACATCACATGTATCACATGTATTTCGATCAGTGATTGCGTAAGAACACTTGAAACCCATTGTCTGCTATCGGAATAGTAATACAACACCACCAAGATCATTTTTATCTCATTTGCGAAATTTTCATGTTTCCGACTCTCCAGACCCTGAGTTAGGGGTAGTACCCCTATATAACATGGCGAGTAAGAGCAGGTGTAAATAGAAAAATTCAAATTTCCATGTACATGTACATGTTATACATCATTCAATAGCACTTCATTAGATAAGTAACATAAAGTGAACCACATTGAAAAATATTAATCCATTCAAATGTTATGAACAATGAAATAATAGTTTCAAGACAAGTGATTCAGATGCCTCTTAAAATACTTTCATACTGTATGGTTGATCACAGTTAAACATTGTAGTTATATAATATACCCTTGTGGGTCAGGGTAATTTTACATTACTTTTCAAGAGGATCAGACACCATCCACACATTCATATGACAATGCAAACAGTACAGTTTAATCTCGTTTAATAGGAGAGACAGACATCGTCCTCAGACTGAACCCGAACAGTATAGCTCAATCCCGCCGCCCCTAGACAGGAGATCCAGACACTATACACGCTTCAACGCTACAATCTGAACAGCACAGCTCAATCCTGTGGCGTAAACACACAGGTACCAAGCACCCTGATGGCCCATTCGCACCATTCATATACACATTCACATCACATGTATCACATGTATTTCGATCAGTGATTGCGTAAGAACACTTGAAACCCATTGTCTGCTATCGGAATAAAAATACAACACCACCAAGATCATTTTTATCTCATTTGCGAAATTTTCATGTTTCCGACTCTCCAGACCCTGAGTTAGGGGTAGTACCCCTATATAACATGGCGAGTAAGAGCATGTGTAAATAGTAAAATTCAAATTTCCATGTACATGTACATGTTATACATCATTCAATAGCACTTCATTAGATAAGTAACATAAAGTGAACCACATTGAAAAATATTAATCCATTCAAATGTTATGAACAATGAAATAATAGTTTCAAGACAAGTGATTCAGATGCCTCTTAAAATACTTTCATACTGTATGGTTGATCACAGTTAAACATTGTAGTTATATAATATACCCTTGTGGGTCAGGGTAATTTTACATTACTTTTCAAGAGGATCAGACACCATCCACACATTCATATGACAATGCAAACAGTACAGTTTAATCTCGTTTAATAGGAGAGACAGACATCGTCCTCAGACTGAACCCGAACAGTATAGCTCAATCCCGCCGCCCCTAGACAGGAGATCCAGACACTATACACGCTTCAACGCTACAATCTGAACAGCACAGCTCAATCCTGTGGCGTAAACACACAGGTACCAAGCACCCTGGTGGCCCATTCGCACCATTCATATACACATTCACATCACATGTATCACATGTATTTCGATCAGTGATTGCGTAAGAACACTTGAAACCCATTGTCTGCTATCGGAATAAAAATACAACACCACCAAGATCATTTTTATCTCATTTGCGAAATTTTCATGTTTCCGACTCTCCAGACCCTGAGTTAGGGGTAGTACCCCTATATAACATGGCGAGTAAGAGCATGTGTAAATAGTAAAATTCAAATTTCCATGTACATGTACATGTTATACATCATTCAATAGCACTTCATTAGATAAGTAACATAAAGTGAACCACATTGAAAAATATTAATCCATTCAAATGTTATGAACAATGAAATAATAGTTTCAAGACAAGTGATTCAGATGCCTCTTAAAATACTTTCATACTGTATGGTTGATCACAGTTAAACATTGTAGTTATATAATATACCCTTGTGGGTCAGGGTAATTTTACATTACTTTTCAAGAGGATCAGACACCATCCACACATTCATATGACAATGCAAACAGTACAGTTTAATCTCGTTTAATAGGAGAGACAGACATCGTCCTCAGACTGAACCCGAACAGTATAGTTCAATCCCGCCGCCCCTAGACAGGAGATCCAGACACTATACACGCTTCAACGCTACAATCTGAACAGCACAGCTCAATCCTGTGGCGTAAACACACAGGTACCAAGCACCCTGGTGGCCCATTCGCACCATTCATATACACATTCACATCACATGTATCACATGTATTTCGATCAGTGATTGCGTAAGAACACTTGAAACCCATTGTCTGCTATCGGAATAGTAATACAACACCACCAAGATCATTTTTATCTCATTTGCGAAATTTTCATGTTTCCGACTCTCCAGACCCTGAGTTAGAGGTAGTACCCCTATATAACATGGCGAGTAAGAGCAGGTGTAAATAGAAAAATTCAAATTTCCATGTACATGTACATGTTATACATCATTCAATAGCACTTCATTAGATAAGTAACATAAAGTGAACCACATTGAAAAATATTAATCCATTCAAATGTTATGAACAATGAAATAATAGTTTCAAGACAAGTGATTCAGATGCCTCTTAAAATACTTCCATACTGTATGGTTGATCACAGTTAAACATTGTAGTTATATAATATACCCTTGTGGGTCAGGGTAATTTTACATTACTTTTCAAGAGGATCAGACACCATCCACACATTCATATGACAATGCAAACAGTACAGTTTAATCTCGTTTAATAGGAGAGACAGACATCGTCCTCAGACTGAACCCGAACAGTATAGCTCAATCCCGCCGCCCCTAGACAGGAGATCCAGACACTATACACGCTTCAACGCTACAATCTGAACAGCACAGCTCAATCCTGTGGCGTAAACACACAGGTACCAAGCACCCTGATGGCCCATTCGCACCATTCATATTCACATTCACATCACATGTATCACATGTATTTCGATCAGTGATTGCGTAAGAACACTTGAAACCCATTGTCTGCTATCGGAATAGTAATACAACACCACCAAGATCATTTTTATCTCATTTGCGAAATTTTCATGTTTCCGACTCTCCAGACCCTGAGTTAGGGGTAGTACCCCTATATAACATGGCGAGTAAGAGCAGGTGTAAATAGAAAAATTCAAATTTCCATGTACATGTACATGTTATACATCATTCAATAGCACTTCATTAGATAAGTAACATAAAGTGAACCACATTGAAAAATAATAATCCATTCAAATGTTATGAACAATGAAATAATAGTTTCAAGACAAGTGATTCAGATGCCTCTTAAAATACTTTCATACTGTATGGTTGATCACAGTTAAACATTGTAGTTATATAATATACCCTTGTGGGTCAGGGTAATTTTACATTACTTTTCAAGAGGATCAAACACCATCCACACATTCATATGACAATGCAAACAGTACAGTTTAATCTCGTTTAATAGGAGAGACAGACATCGTCCTCAGACTGAACCCGAACAGTATAGCTCAATCCCGCCGCCCCTAGACAGGAGATCCAGACACTATACACGCTTCAACGCTACAATCTGAACAGCACAGCTCAATCCTGTGGCGTAAACACACAGGTACCAAGCACCCTGGTGGCCCATTCGCACCATTCATATACACATTCACATCACATGTATCACATGTATTTCGATCAGTGATTGCGTAGGAACACTTGAAACCCATTGTCTGCTATCGGAATAGTAATACAACACCACCAAGATCATTTTTATCTCATTTGCGAAATTTTCATGTTTCCGACTCTCCAGACCCTGAGTTAGGGGTAGTACCCCTATATAACATGGCGAGTAAGAGCAGGTGTAAATAGAAAAATTCAAATTTCCATGTACATGTACATGTTATACATCATTCAATAGCACTTCATTAGATAAGTAACATAAAGTGAACCACATTGAAAAATAATAATCCATTCAAATGTTATGAATAATGAAATAATAGTTTCAAGACAAGTGATTCAGATGCCTCTTAAAATACTTCCATACTGTATGGTTGATCACAGTTAAACATTGTAGTTATATAATATACCCTTGTGGGTCAGGGTAATTTTACATTACTTTTCAAGAGGATCAGACACCATCCACACATTCATATGACAATGCAAACAGTACAGTTTAATCTCGTTTAATAGGAGAGACAGACATCGTCCTCAGACTGAACCCGAACAGTATAGCTCAATCCCGCCGCCCCTAGACAGGAGATCCAGACACTATACACGCTTCAACGCTACAATCTGAACAGCACAGCTCAATCCTGTGGCGTAAACACACAGGTACCAAGCACCCTGATGGCCCATTCGCACCATTCATATACACATTCACATCACATGTATCACATGTATTTCGATCAGTGATTGCGTAAGAACACTTGAAACCCATTGTCTGCTATCGGAATAAAAATACAACACCACCAAGATCATTTTTATCTCATTTGCGAAATTTTCATGTTTCCGACTCTTCAGACCCTGAGTTAGGGGTAGTACCCCTATATAACATGGCGAGTAAGAGCAGGTGTAAATAGAAAAATTCAAATTTCCATGTACATGTACATGTTATACATCATTCAATAGCACTTCATTAGATAAGTAACATAAAGTGAACCACATTGAAAAATATTAATCCATTCAAATGTTATGAACAATGAAATAATAGTTTCAAGACAAGTGATTCAGATGCCTCTTAAAATACTTCCATACTGTATGGTTGATCACAGTTAAACATTGTAGTTATATAATATACCCTTGTGGGTCAGGGTAATTTTACATTACATTTCAAGAGGATCAGACACCATCCACACATTCATATGACAATGCAAACAGTACAGTTTAATCTCGTTTAATAGGAGAGACAGACATCGTCCTCAGACTGAACCCGAACAGTATAGTTCAATCCCGCCGCCCCTAGACAGGAGATCCAGACACTATACACGCTTCAACGCTACAATCTGAACAGCACAGCTCAATCCTGTGGCGTAAACACACAGGTACCAAGCACCCTGGTGGCCCATTCGCACCATTCATATACACATTCACATCACATGTATCACATGTATTTCGATCAGTGATTGCGTAAGAACACTTGAAACCCATTGTCTCGTATCGGAATAGTAATACAACACCACCAAGATCATTTTTATCTCATTTGCGAAATTTTCATGTTTCCGACTCTCCAGACCCTGAGTTAGGGGTAGTACCCCTATATAACATGGCGAGTAAGAGCAGGTGTAAATAGAAAAATTCAAATTTCCATGTACATGTACATGTTATACATCATTCAATAGCACTTCATTAGATAAGTAACATAAAGTGAACCACATTGAAAAATATTAATCCATTCAAATGTTATGAACAATGAAATAATAGTTTCAAGACAAGTGATTCAGATGCCTCTTAAAATACTTTCATACTGTATGGTTGATCACAGTTAAACATTGTAGTTATATAATATACCCTTGTGGGTCAGGGTAATTTTACATTACTTTTCAAGAGGATCAGACACCATCCACACATTCATATGACAATGCAAACAGTACAGTTTAATCTCGTTTAATAGGAGAGACAGACATCGTCCTCAGACTGAACCCGAACAGTATAGCTCAATCCCGCCGCCCCTAGACAGGAGATCCAAACACTATACACGCTTCAACGCTACAATCTGAACAGCACAGCTCAATCCTGTGGCGTAAACACACAGGTACCAAGCACCCTGGTGGCCCATTCGCACCATTCATATACACATTCACATCACATGTATCACATGTATTTCGATCAGTGATTGCGTAAGAACACTTGAAACCCATTGTCTGCTATCGGAATAGTAATACAACACCACCAAGATCATTTTTATCTCATTTGCGAAATTTTCATGTTTCCGACTCTCCAGACCCTGAGTTAGGGGTAGTACCCCTATATAACATGGCGAGTAAGAGCAGGTGTAAATAGAAAAATTCAAATTTCCATGTACATGTACATGTTATACATCATTCAATAGCACTTCATTAGATAAGTAACATAAAGTGAACCACATTGAAAAATATTAATCCATTCAAATGTTATGAACAATGAAATAATAGTTTCAAGACAAGTGATTCAGATGCCTCTTAAAATACTTCCATACTGTATGGTTGATCACAGTTAAACATTGTAGTTATATAATATACCCTTGTGGGTCAGGGTAATTTTACATTACTTTTCAAGAGGATCAGACACCATCCACACATTCATATGACAATGCAAACAGTACAGTTTAATCTCGTTTAATAGGAGAGACAGACATCGTCCTCAGACTGAACCCGAACAGTATAGTTCAATCCCGCCGCCCCTAGACAGGAGATCCAGACACTATACACGCTTCAACGCTACAATCTGAACAGCACAGCTCAATCCTGTGGCGTAAACACACAGGTACCAAGCACCCTGGTGGCCCATTCGCACCATTCATATACACATTCACATCACATGTATCACATGTATTTCGATCAGTGATTGCGTAAGAACACTTGAAACCCATTGTCTGCTATCGGAATAGTAATACAACACCACCAAGATCATTTTTATCTCATTTGCGAAATTTTCATGTTTCCGACTCTCCAGACCCTGAGTTAGGGGTAGTACCCCTATATAACATGGCGAGTAAGAGCAGGTGTAAATAGAAAAATTCAAATTTCCATGTACATGTACATGTTATACATCATTCAATAGCACTTCATTAGATAAGTAACATAAAGTGAACCACATTGAAAAATATTAATCCATTCAAATGTTATGAACAATGAAATAATAGTTTCAAGACAAGTGATTCAGATGCCTCTTAAAATACTTTCATACTGTATGGTTGATCACAGTTAAACATTGTAGTTATATAATATACCCTTGTGGGTCAGGGTAATTTTACATTACTTTTCAAGAGGATCAGACACCATCCACACATTCATATGACAATGCAAACAGTACAGTTTAATCTCGTTTAATAGGAGAGACAGACATCGTCCTCAGACTGAACCCGAACAGTATAGTTCAATCCCGCCGCCCCTAGACAGGAGATCCAGACACTATACACGCTTCAACGCTACAATCTGAACAGCACAGCTCAATCCTGTGGCGTAAACACACAGGTACCAAGCACCCTGGTGGCCCATTCGCACCATTCATATACACATTCACATCACATGTATCACATGTATTTCGATCAGTGATTGCGTAGGAACACTTGAAACCCATTGTCTGCTATCGTAATAGTAATACAACACCACCAAGATCATTTTTATCTCATTTGCGAAATTTTCATGTTTCCGACTCTCCAGACCCTGAGTTAGGGGTATGTTATATCGTATGGGCCCGTAATTTATATGAACGCCAATTTAGAGAGGAGTGGATTTATTGATCGGACGCAAATGATACAGAAATTACGTACGAGCAGTCTTGATTGCTATTCGGTCCTTCCTAACTGCCTAGCCCAGCCAGTTGAGTCCAGAACACAAATAACAGCCTCGGAAATATGGATCATTATTTACAAACACACTGGGTTTTTATACAAACCAAAGTAATCAATAACTGATTATAACTCAAGAATCGTATGATCATAAATCAAAGATCAAAATAAAGCTAATGATAAGAGAAAACGAATATGAATAATTTAGTTACGTAACAACTGTACAATAAGAAATAGTCATAATACATTGGTCGATAAATAGTCCTTAGAGTTATCATTCATAATTCACCAGGGGATATAACACCTCCCCTTTTTGAGAAATCCGGAGTTGACATCCGGATTTTAAATTTCTCGAATTCATCCTCCCCCACGAAAGACTGTTGGATCCTCATGTACCCAAGTTACCATTATTGTGACATTATTTAAAACATATTCGTCGTATTTAACTGAAAATCCACGAGAACTTATTAGATCGTGAGGATCGACGACATTCGATTTGAGGTCACCAGCGTCTGATTCTTCTGAAACAGTTTCCTTGAATTTACTCGGAACCTCATTAGTAAATAATGAATCATTAGGATAATCAGTATCTATGAAATTTGTATTGGATTCTTGATTATCATTTAATGCATCCGATATTTTTCTCCCATTTTTATAAGAGATTTGAACTGGAACATATGAATCAGTAAAATAATCGGGATCTGGCAGAACAATTAGATAATTTTGATCATTAGATTCATTAGAAAAATTTTCCGTATCATGAATAATTTCATTTGGCGCCTCTGCATTCAATATACTGCTCGATTTGCTTCCCATTTCTTCGTGGGCGGGTACTGCAGCAATTTCATGAGCATTTGACATGGCATCATGTTGCTGAGAGCTGGGAGCATCACTGTTCGGACCTGCTAATTCAGGGATAATGGTGTTTGAATCCACTACCGGGCACGTTTCTGAAACAGGCAGCACCGGACTACTGGGCTGATCATGTAGGACTGTTACTGCTGCATCTAAATTACTGTTTTTCGCGGATTCATAGAGGCTTTCCTCTGCATATTCATTTGTTCTGTAATCGACTTCCAGTTCTATACGCAATTTAGAAATCAATGCGTCAACTTCCGTTGCACCCCCAAAGCATGGGTGATTCAGCAGCGTCGCGTGTAACTTGTCAATGAAATCCAACTGACTCTTTTTAAAAACGCTGCTCTTGTCTCTGAATTAGCAACTGAAATTGATCGGAAGTTAAAGCCATTTTTTTACCCCGTCGTCAGTTGTTATATCGTATGGCATGAGCAGTCTTGGGTGCTGTATTTTTTTCCAGAATCCCCGTCGCCAATTGTTATGACTCGTATAACAATCGTTATTGTATATGAAACGTGCAATGATACAGAAAATACGTACGATCAGTCTTGATTGCTATTCGGTCCTTCCTAACTGCCTAGCCCAGCCAGTTGAGTCCAGAACACAAATAACAGCCTCGGAAATATGGATCATTATTTACAAACACACTGGGTTTTTATACAAACCAAAGTAATCAATAACTGATTATAACTCAAGAATCGTATGATCATAAATCAAAGATCAAAATAAAGCTAATGATAAGAGAAAACGAATATGAATAATTTAGTTACGTAACAACTGTACAATAAGAAATAGTCATAATACATTGGTCGATAAATAGTCCTTAGAGTTATCATTCATAATTCACCAGGGGATATAACAGGGTAGTACCCCTATATAACATGGCGAGTAAGAGCAGGTGTAAATAGTAAGATTCAAATTTCCATGTATATGTACATGTTATACATCATTCAATAGCACTTCATTAGATAAGTAACATAAAGTGAACCACATTGAAAAATATTAATCCATTCAAATGTTATGAACAATGAAATAATAATTTCGAGAAGTATATTAATCCATTCAAAAATCATGAATAATAAGATAATATTTTATTTGTTGATTTCTGACAAGTCATTCATATGCCTCTTGTATTATTTTCATATTCTGATAGCAGGTACGGTCTGAAAATCACGTCTCCAGCATTTGATCGTTGTTTCACAAAGACCTCGAAGTTATAGCATTGCTGCCACTATTCAGAAGTGCTGTATCGGAAACAACTCTTTGAGACCCACCATTGATGCTGAAGGTATTCGACCCCTTAAAAGCAAAATGGCGGCCATTCTTGATTGCCCAGAACCGACTACGATTAGTCAGTTGCGCAGTTTTAACGTCTTTTAATGGGTTAACCACTATTGGCAACCATAAGAATTTTTCTCGAGACGGTTGCTAGACACTGAATCTAGGTACAGCACATTCGGTAGCGAACTCCTAGCTATATATTGTGCTGTACGGCATTTCCAACATTCTGTTGAGTCGACTTACAGAGAACTCCAAAAGAACCTATAGAAGCTCATATAGAACCCCAGTCAATCAGAATTTGATGGAACATTCTAGAGTTCCAACGTGGCGTGATACTATTGGTCGGTATCATAATATTTCGTTAATGGATTGGCTAACATCTATAAATACCTATGATTTTCTGTAACAAGATTGAACCATGCAGTAAAGTGTTTCTCTGATACTCGTGTCTTTTCTCTAATGTTCAAGTCGCTGAGTAGTGCTAGCCCCGAGGTTATCGAAATAGCTTAGGATCTGAATAAAGCGTTCAACATACAAGACATATCAGTGGCGACGGGAAAATGACAATGAATATTTCTCTGGATCAATTAGAAGCCAATATGGTGCGTCAAGAAAAGAGGTTTGAAGAGTCTCAAATCAGAATCATGGAAACCCTGATGCAAAAATTCTGCCTGTAGGAGAAAAACCCTGCTTCTAGTGAATCACAAGTATCACATACTGATTAAGTCATTAACGCCATACATGAATTTAGTTTTGATGGTGTAGCAGGTATAACATATGAGTCGTGGTTCAAGAAGTACGAAGATTTGTTTATATTGATCTTCGCAACCTGGATGACGCTTTGAAAGTCAGAATACTTCTGAGAAAACTTGGGATTGTGGAACATGAATGCTACAGCAACTTCATGCTTCCGAAGAACCCACGAGATTTTAGTTTTGATGAAACAGTCAAAACCCTGTTCCAAATCTTCAGAGAACAATCATCTCTATTTAATGTCCGTTATCGGTGCTTCAAGTTAACGAGAGAACCAGGAGATGGTTGGGTGAAACATGCAGGAACTGTGAACCATGAATTTGAGAGGTTCAAATTTTCGTCCATGTCTGAGGATCAGTTTAAATGCTAAGTATTTATCTTCATCCTGCGTTCACCTGATGATGCTGATATCCGAACCAGAATCTTAAGTAAACTTGAACACTGCCCCAACATGACCTTACAGGAAACAACTACCGAGTGCCAAAGTTTAGTGAACTTGAAGCACGATACCTCAATGGTAGAAAACGGTAACTGTTTCCATAATATCAATGCAGTCGAGAGAAAATCCTTTCAAGGTTCCAGCACACCTAATTATCGAAATAACGGGGACAAACCATCATCTCCATGCTGAGCATGTGGAGGCTGGCACTATAAGAGGTTTTGCCCGTATAAAGAACATTGTTGCAGTAAGTTTCAATGAAAGGGTCAGATAGAAACCAGCTGCGGAAAGAGAAACTATAAACGACATTTTGCGAAACCTTACTTCAAGAAATGCAGGTCTGGAGCAATAACGAAAAGAATTTTGGTATCACATAACAAACCTCGAAGTTGCCGCCAGAGAAAGTACATGACTTTGAATATTATTAAACATCGAACTCGACTTCAGCTTGATACGGCTTCTGATATTACTTTAATAAGCCCAGAAACTTGGAAGAAGATTGGGTGACCCACGGTGCATCGAAGTACACAAATAGCACACAGTGCATCATGTGGAAAGTTAAATATTGTTGAAGAAATACCTTACAGTGTGTCTGAAGGTGCGGTAACAACAAGTGCAACAGTATATTTTACAAAAAAGCCAGCACTCGTCTTAATGGGGTTAGATCTCATAGAAATACTTGACCTAGCAGACCACACTATTAACAGTATCATAAACGAATCACAACTTACAACACCTCAGAGTGGAGTCGGAAAAATGCCATGCTACAAAAACACCAAGACGTGTTTAAAGAAGGTGTAAGACATCAACGTTGATGTTCTATGTCGAAATGATTGGGGGCCTACTATAGTTAGACGAGAATGGTGACGAACCAACTAACGCTGAAGTCACACCTCGCGACTAGCCCTTACGTGGATTGAACTAACGACGCATCAAAGGATCGTGGTCTCTATGGAGACTGTACAACACAAAGGACGTTAATGCAAGAATATATTAGTTAGGGTACAAATACGAAGATGCAGAAGTGAAAGAGCATCCATTGCCGTGTGGGCCAGTTCATGGCATATAATTGATTGATGCGCGTTGACTATCTTGACTTTTATTGGGATCAATGATCTGTTCGATATTCAGTGACATTTCACCGACCCTACAAAGGATTAGGCGAATGCACGAAGGCTAAAGCAGTGCTAACTCTAAAGCCTGCAGCTACTCCCATTTTTCGACCAAAAAGACCTGTGCCCTATGCTGCTCTTCCAATAGTTGAACAAGAATTACAACGACTTCAGCAAATGGGTGTTATCGAGCCTGTGAACTTCTCGAACTGGGCTGCACCGATAGTGGTGGTCAACTATAAGAATTTTTCTCGAGACGGTCGCTAGACACTGAATCTAGGTACAGCACATTCGGTAGCGAACTCCTAGCTATATATTGTGCTGTACGGCATTTCCAACATTCTGTTGAGTCGACTTACAGAGAACTCCAAAAGAACCTATAGAAGCTCATATAGAACCCCAGTCAATCAGAATTTGATGGAACATTCTAGAGTTCCAACGTGGCGTGATACTATTGGTCGGTATCATAATATTTCGTTAATGGATTGGCTAACATCTATAAATACCTATGATTTTCTGTGGTGGTCAATAAGTCGAATTGATGTGTCCGTCTATGCGCAGACTACTCCGCAGGATTAAATGAAGCTCTTGAGTCCCATCAGTATCCGTTGCCCTTCAGTCTTCAGTAATAAGGATAGGAGGTCTAGTGACCCATTTTAATACTTGCAGTTTGTTACACTGTGAAGGTCCAATCTCGTCTTAAATTTATCAACAGTAGGTGCTGATATTACGTGTTCTGGTAGAGAATTCCAGTAATTCACTACTTTGTGCGAGAAACGAAACTCCAGACGTAGACGATTTGATCTCGGTTTTTGGACTTTCTTTGAATGTCCTCTCAAATGATCAGCCCTAGACGGGAGGAAAAGATAGGACATTTTAGTACCAAGGTCATCGTTCAGGATACGATATGCCAATACTAGATCACCTCGTATTCGCCGGTAAGATAACGGAAATAAGTTGAGGTATCTCAGTCTGTCTTCATAAGATAGGCTAGGTAAGCCTATTACCATTTTTGTCCCGCGGCGTTGAACTCGTTCCAACATATCCGCCTCATATTTGAAACAAGGACTCGCTGCCTGAATCCCATATTCCAAATGTGGCCGTACGAAAGTTGGGTATAATAATCTAAACATTTCCCCATCCACATACCGGAAAGATCTACGAATAGACCATATTGCCAAATAGCCTTTTGCAGCAGCAGCCTTACAGTGACTGGTTGTTTTGAGATCATTACTTAGTATGACTCCTAAATCTTTATAGTTTCTTACTTTGAGCAACACTAGTCCACATATTGTGTAGTGATACGAATCATCGTAGTTATTTAATTGCATCACAACACTTTTATTAGGGTTTACTACTAGTGACCGCCCATTCATCCATGCAACTAATGAGTTAAGATCTTCCTGTAAAACTATTCTCTCTGAAATACTATATATGGGTCTCCAAATCTTAATGTCATCGGCGAATAGAAGGAACGATGACATATCTATAGCTGGTAATTCACTTATATAAAGTAAAAAGAGAAGAGAATCTAAAATCGTGCCTTGGGGGACGCTACTTTCTACTGGTTCCCACGATCAGAGAGCCCCATTTACTCTTACCCTTTGTCTACTTCCATGAAGAAAGTCACTTATCCAGTCTATGACTGCATGATGAAATCCAAAACTTTCTAATTTCAATTTAAGACCAGAATGGAAAACCTTATCAAAGGCTTTACTTAGATCTATGTAAATGACATCTACAGGAATACTGCAATCTTCCCTTGCAATGAAAAGATTTGTCAAACATGGTAGACCTTTTCGAAAACCATGTTGTTCCTTTGACAAAAGATCGTGTCTTTCCACGTAGTTTATAACAGCCATCCTAATAATTTTTTCCATTAGTTTTACAACTGCACTAGAATTCGTGGATCCCCCGGCTTCTTCATTGAACACGGATCTAAACTCTTACACAGCAGGCTTACAAACGAATTGCGTTCAGGTAAACCTGCTCGTAGTCAACTGCCATCAACTGATGTTTTCGATCAACCTGACTTACAAAATAGTGCACACGTCTTCGTTTGCGAGACTCACATCGACGGCCTCTCGAATCAGCATACGAAAGACCCTTCAAACTTTTTCACCGTGATATTACAGTTCTGAACAAATAGTATTCGGTTAGCTGCTTGGCTCGCGTCTATAGTGTTGAACATTTACCAATTGGTTGAAGCTCCTGAGCTATCGCGTCTTACATTTCAATCTTGGTTTCCAGAAACTTGGTCGCTAATTGCGAGATGCCAAACAATCGTCCAAAGAAGTCAATTCCTAAGCTGGTCGGTGAGGATAAAAACAAGTTTGACGACTTACCACTTTGTACACAGCAAGTTTTTTCTGATGTCTTTATACGTCATGGTTCTGACTCAGTTAAGAAAAACTATCGTGATAGTAACAGTGGTAGCGAATTAATGTTAGATAAGGTAAAGAGTGTTAGTTTAGGTAAAAAGGAAAGACTTGGGGATGCAGAGCCAGGTATAATACCTAAGGTTCCTATTGTTGGGCTAGAGTTACCGAGAGTTGAATTGAGCTATTTTGAAGGGAAACCTAAGGAGTATTGGAAATTCATGAGACAATTTGAGATATACATAGTGTCAGAGTTCTCCGATGACAGTCAACGTTTACTCTACTTGCTCCATCACTGCAAGGATAAAGCAAAGGCAGCCATTGAAGGATGTGTAGTGATGAAGTCTTCGGCTGAGTATAAGTGAGCCAGAAAATTTTTAAACGGTTTATAGTGGAATATAATATTCACTTGTACAGCGTTGTACATTTCATCACAAACTTTATAAAAACTTACCATTTCATTGCAATACCCAATGAATCATTTAATTCATTCATGTAATCTTGTAATTCAATGTAATTATACAATCATTCATGTAAAGTGTATGTGTGTACAATTTTACGCAGACATTACGTTAATCTCACTAGTTTTAATTTACTGGTTGAATGAGATTCCAATGACAGATAGATAATTTAAAAGTCGTGTTAAATAAAAAGTTGATGCATTTGCAATTGTCTCAAATAGGATAACTCATATTAGCTAGCTTATAAAGCTCAAATGCATAGACTCACATATGTCGATCTATCTATCTTCGTAACCTACTAATCACGAACAAAACGAAATATTGTCTAAAGGTTATTAATGCAACAATTCATACTCATATACAGGCAGTTAAACTTGATATTTTCTATGTTGTATGTGATGTACACTTATTACAAAAGTGTGATTACATAGTTATTGTGTTGTCATTGAATACTTGTTGACATCTAAGATGAAAAGCAAATTATAATGTGTGATATCCCATCACAAAACCAATGATCACATAGCATAACGGACTAAACAGCGCACTACCATACATCACATATGTCAATCTATCTTTATTTGTAACCTACTAATCACGAAGAAAACGAAATATTGTCTAAACGTTAATAATATAATGGATTAAACAACGCACTACCATACATCAACAATTGATGTCGTACACTTTACTTCAATCAAATGAATAAGATAAAATGATTGTCCTGGACTACACGGCTTTATATATGGTCTTTTCTGCCTAAGGACGAAATACATTCATCTACACATATACATTTATTCCTATTTGTTATGCATATTGTTGTCCGTCATTTGTTGAATCAAGTTACCTACTCCTTCTTATTATTCTGATCCTTTGTAACCCTGTTTAAATCATAAAAAGAAGCGTTCATTATGAATGAATGCGTTGCATGTTCAACAAAAGCCAGACAACTTGACAATGTTCCATGAGTATCAAACAATGTCGTACAATTGCATTGATAAGATTATGTATTATTATTATTATAAAATTGTTATTAATATGTAATGAAGTAGATTGAGCAGTTCTGTATTCATTTAACCCTGAAAATAAGAAAGTGTGAATACGTGATTTTGACATTTGTTCAAGCTTTATAGATTGAATAATCATGAACTAGAACAAAACTATCATATCTAATTCTAAATATTGATAAGGCTTAACTTTAATTACAATAGTCGGTAATATACTGTCGAAATGAATCATCTGTATCATAACATTGTTACGTGTTCGCATGTGGGACAACTTTGCTTCGCGTTCGTAAGTCGGGATCGCTAATTGTGTGTTGCGTGTTCGTACGTCG